GGAAAGGAAAGGAAAGGAAAGGAAAGGAAAGGAAAGGAAAGGAAAGGGAAAAGATCTTGTTTTCTTTTCAAAGGTGACAGAATGAAGTAGAGGTGCATGAAAAAATTAATCTTAGAGAGGAGCTTTATCTCCACCATCCCTGCAAGAGGGACATTGCCAAATAGACCCCATACCTTGGGAGGGCATCAAGAAGAACTTCATTCTCCCCTTGATCTGAATCTGTAGTTGCAGCAAAAGCTTCAGCCAGCGGTTTTGGTTTTGCCGTGTGTTCACACATCTGGAGCAGATGTTCTCTTTAACTCCCAACACACCTGTACTGCAGGTCATAACTGTACCTGCAAAGCTTCTGAACTCTCAAACTGCTGTTGTGCCTGCTGTAATTCTCAGATGAGCACACAGTAAGTTAAAGTTCATTTAGGCAATAAACAGGTTCACTCAGTCAGAGTGAGTTTAATTTTGTTCATTTTGGCCTTCCCATGCAAGCTGTATTTTAAAGACTACCCGTGTTCGAGCTCTGAGCCCTCCCCTCCCACTCTGAGCACAGCAATAATCACCCTGGCAGCAGCAAGGAGATCAAACAAGCTCCCTTCAGTGTCCAGCATCCCTTCCTTTCTCATCTCAGCTCCTCTTTCATCCCTTTTCCAGCAGCCAGGTGTGCTCATGCCCCACCACAGGGCCCTGAGCAGCCCCCTCCTGGGCACAGTTGGGCTGTTGTGCCCTCGGTGCTCACACTCTGTGCTCCATCAGAGCTGCCCAGTGACATTCCTGCACCCTCCTGCACTCCTCACATGGCCTCTCACCAAACTCAGATGGGTGACAGATGCTTTTTATCCCCCACCCCATTTTGTCAGCAGGATAAAAATAAGTGATTTAAATCAGTCTCTCTTTAGTACCCAACCAGTTAGCCCTGCCTAATATTTGTAGTCTAAATAATTGACATATGTGGCAGTGGAATACAAGTTTGTGGCCTTTTTTTTTTTTAATAGAAGTTAATCCAGCTTTGAGCTGGATTAATTCCCGATGAGGCTTGGGGACAGACAGCTGTTTCTCTTCTTTGGCCTGGGAATACTGCCCTCAAAAATCCACCTATGCTAAGAATCCCTGATGGACACAAGTTGTGCTCATTTTCAGATCCTTATCCATGTTCAGAGGCAGCACTGAACCAGCTTCTCAAAAAAATAAGAAGGTATGACACTTGGAAATGTTTTGTTGACTCTTTTGCCATGGAATAAGAAAGACTTCAAAGCTCCCATCTTCATTTGGAGAGTTGGGAAGGAAGAATATTTGCAAAGGAGACATTTGACAGGAAAATCAGTATTAGCCTGTAGGGCAGGAGTGGAGCCAGATAAATCCTGTGCTGGCTCTTAAGGCTGAAACCTCACAGAAACAGTTTTAAGGAAACAAGCCCTGAAGTGATTATTTACCCTGTGCCACATGACAAGCAGTGGTGAAAAAAAAACAGCAGGAGAGAAGAGGAGAAAAAGAATAAATCAAATATTATTCCCTTGTATTTTTCAACCTACTCATCCTAAAAAATAAGATCACTACTGTACCTGAGTTTCATGTTTCCTTATTATACCTTGGCCTAAGTACCCCAAAAAACTATCCAACAGCCATAAAAATTACACAGAGAGCCCGTTTTGGCTGGCAAACAGAGGAGGTGAATGACATCCAATATGCATAGTTCATTAGAGTAGTTAGGGAATACTATTTTTAAAGCAAAGCTAAAAATCATACCTGAGGTATGAAACCAAAAGCAGTTGCTTGGCAAGATTTAAATCTCTGTCTCTGCGGTTCTGTTTTCTCAAACAGATTAAGTGAGCGAGTCACCTCACACCTAAAATGTGTCTCAATTTGTGTTTGTTCTGCTTTTTTATTGCCAAGTTTGAAAATTAATAATTCAATGTTCTAATATTAGCTGTCATCTTAGTTGCGATAAAATTAATAATTCATCAAACTGATATCAAACAAATGGCACCTTTTTATGCTGGATGAGGAATAAACTTTGCTGCATTTGTGGAGCTAAATTTGGTGAGATTCGCCACTTTATTTCAAATGAAATCATATTCTACCAATTAATATATCATTTTATCATCTTCACTCACTCTGAAATTACCTCTAAGGAAGGTTGTTGCACAGCCACACAGGTTTTATTTTTACAACATATTTTTTCCACATGAGCCACAAGAACAGCGTTTTTTTGAAAAACCAAGAATCTTTCACTAATTTTTAAGCCCTTTCCTTCTGATCATGCACTCCCAGCTTTTCCAGGGAAAGTATCCACCATACCTGCAGTGCTCTGGCCAAATTCCAATCTGAAAATTACACTCAGCCTGTCTAAACTCTTGCTGGAGTTTTATTTGGAGAAGGTTTCCTCCATTGCCTCAGTTGTTGGGGAGTGTTGTGAGTGCTGCTAAGCAGGTGCTGGTCCTCTCAGCAGGAGCTGACTGAGCTCCAGCAGTAGGTGAAGGGATTTCCAAGTGTGGAGAGCAGCTTGTGCTAAATTTGCAAAGTGTTTGGAGATCCTTTGGGGTGATAGGTGCTATGTAAATGTAAGGTCACCGCTGTTATCTGGGGTGCAAATGCATCCAGGGCTGTGATTTGAAGCTTGGGGGGAGGAGGGGGAAGAATGAAGGAACAAAAAAAAAAAAAAAAAAAGAGAGGAAAAAAAAAAAAAAAAAAAAAAAGGGAAAAAAAAAGAAAAAAAAAAA